AGATAAAGTCAACTAGTGTATCGTGCATGGAATTTTAGTATCTGTCTTGTTATTCTGGAGCTTTATGCTCTCTTTTTAAAGTTTTACTTCATTTTGGGGGGGAAAGAGGAGGGGAATGGGGTAAAGGAGCAGATGCAGCCTGACTCTGTCGGGGGTTATGTTTTTCAGCTCTCTGACAGTGTCATTGATCGTATGAAGGAACCTTCTTCGCCCAGTGGAAGGCCACAGTCTCAGAGCCGATCGTCAGGTGCAGGTATACCCATGGTTGTCTGGTTTTAATGTGAGGAAGAAAATCAAATGTGCCTTTCAGAGCATTGTAATGACTTGAGAGATGTTTTTTGGCGTTAACTTTTTGGCTCATCTCCTTTTGAAGTAGTCTGTAGGTTTTTAGGGGAGTTAAATGACTCTTTGTTTTCTTCTCCCTGACATTAAAGTGTAAAACACAATGTTTATTAGATTTGGTTTTCTTTCTATTATCCATTGCTAAAACCTTGTAAAAAAACCCAGGAAGAGCAACTACCCATTTCAAGTATCTCATGAGTTCTGAAGTGATAATTCTTCTTTAATCAACACTGAATTCTAGTATATTGAGCTTGTCTTGAAATAGACTTAAGCAAACATTACAATACGCTATTTTCCTATCATGAAGTAGTGGAAATAAGTCACATATAGTTTATCCAGAGAGATGGATAGACATGATGGCTTTCTTAACTCTTTATACATCATTAGTGATGCCTGTTCAAATGCATGACACAGGATTTGTGCCAGGCACCCTCTGCTCTAATTTGAAATACTTCAGCACAGTGAACACATTGTAGCTACTGAAAGAGTAAAAATGAATGGCAGAGATCAGAGCATGTGAGTTACAGCTGTTGACTGTGAAGCTACAAGGTTCAAGCAGGTCTTCTTATCAGTGCTCCAGAAATATTAGTGCTCTCAGTATTCCCTAATGGCCTTTTGCCTTGATGCTTACAAAAACATTCCTCCAAAAGGCAACCCTTTAATTGTAAACAAAGATGCTGTGAGGGCTGGAGCAGCTCTGCTTTGGAACCAGGCTGAGAGAGCTGGGCTGGGGCAGCTGGAGAAGAGAAGGCTCCTGAAGGGGACACCTTAGAGCAGCTCCAGTGCCTAAAGGGGCTCCAGGAAACCTGGAGAGAGGGGCTTTGGACAAGGGATGGAGGGACAGGCCAAGGGGAGTGGCTTTAACCTGCCAGAGGGGAGACTGAGATGAGCTCTTGGGCAGAAGCTCTTCCCTGTGAGGGTGCTGAGGCGCTGGCACAGGGTGCCCAGAGAAGCTGTGGCTGCCCCATCCCTGGCAGTGTTCAAGGCCAGGCTGGAGACAGGGGCTTGGAGCAACCTGCTCTAGTGGAAGGTGTCCCTGCCCGTGGCAGGGGTTGGAGCTGTATGATCTTAAGATCTTTTCCAAGCCAAACAATTCTATGATTTATATGCAATACTACTTGCACATCCTACCTACTTTGCAGGTGCTTGTTGCTTTTTCATCTTTAAACCTGAGGTAGGGAAGTGGTCTTGTGAATAAGCATCTGATTCTGGGATGTGGTGACTAGAGGTAAAGGTTGTTAATACCCAGTAATTCTTTGCTAATTCACATGTATGTGTCTTGCTCCTTTGTTTTGTTTCTCTTTGTGTTGGAAATAGTGCATTTTTCATGTTTTTGGGGTTTATGTATTGAAAGGCTTTAATGAATTACTTGATGGCTTTGCAAGCTTGGGAAACCTTATGCATATTTTTACTTTAAGAACTAGTGATTTAGGTGAAGTGCTTGTATTTTCCCAGGGAAGTATAATCAATGTTATGCCTCAGTTGCTAAAATGATTTGTATTTAAGAGGATTAAATTATAGTTAAGTACATGTTCCCATACCATCCATTACTGTTTCATTGAATGATTTGTGATGGGGAATTACAAACTGTTGAATTTCTTTGATGCTGGAAGAACAGTCCAACCTGTTTGTGGCTTTTGTAGCTACATCTACCTTGTCAGGGTGTGTTTGGCTGATGAGGTGCCATGACAGGAAGGACACTTGCTTCAAAGCAAGTGTTCTGATCACTTAATACTGAAATACTGTCTGTTGATGGCTTTGGGGGCTGGATCCTAAATCTGGGGGTCTTTTCTATGATACAGAATGTTCTTCTTTGTTTCTTGGTAAAGCCTTTTGCACTGTTGATCCTGCTCCTCTGCTCTGCTGTCGTGAGACCCCACTTGCAGTGCTGTGTACAGTTCTGGTGTCCTCAAGAAGGACATGGAGCTGTTGGAGTAGGTCCACAGGAGGCCATGAGGATGATCAAGGGCTGGAGCACCTCCTGTATGGAGCCAGGCTGAGAACATTGGGGCTGTTCAGCCTGGAGAAGAGAAGCTGCGTGGAGACCTCAGAGCAGCTTCCAGTGTCTGAACCATGACAGGGGGCTACAAGGATG